CCCCCCACACCCTCCCAGTCCTGGCAGTGCCCCTCACTTCTAGCCCTCAGCCTGTGCCCTCCCCTCTCAGTGCTGCCAGTGTCCCTCACTCTGGATCTGTAGCCTCTGCCCCCCAGCCCTGCTGGTGCCTCTCACTCCTGACCTGCAGACCCCTGCCTCCCTTGTCCTGCTGCCCAAGCAGCTCCCACATCATTGCGAGCATGCCTGTGTGCTCTCTCTGGTTACCTGGCTTGTCGAAACCCGCGTGGGGAGCACGTGGCCTCTGACAGCTAATCACCTTGCCCGCTGCTCCCAGCTTGGAGCAGCCAGCCTCGGAGAGGAGGGAAAAACTGGACATTTGCTGTTGTTTTAAAAACCTGCCCAGATGCAGCATAGGGGTCCAAAAAAGAGGATGTGTCCAGGAAAACCTGGACATATGGGAACCCTAGCACCTGGAGCTTGGTCCCACTCTCTCATATCTCTCCTAGGCCAGAACTGGCCCCTGGGAGCCTGGCCCCACCCCTGGCTGGGATTGGGACCCTGGCCCTGCCTCCTTGTAGCCCCTCTGGCTGGGACTGGGCCTTGGGAGTTTGCCTTCCCCCATCCCCACTGAGACTGGGCTGCCAGAAGCCTGGCACCAACACCCTCATAGCCTCTCTAGCCAGGATTGAGCCCTGGGGGTGGGCACTGTGCTGCCTGGCTCTGCAGACTGTGGTGTGGCCCAGTCCAGCACAGGGCCTGGGGCTCCCCACGGGCCTAGGAGTTTGGCCATAGAGGAGCAGTGCCACGGCCCCCCACCGCCCTATTTCCAGACCTGTGGGGAGACCATGGGCCCAATGGCATGACATCTTGGGCTGGGGGTTGAGCTCCCATGTTACAGTGCACGCCCCTTCGCAGAGGGGCCCCCACAGGGACAAGCCTGAGCCTGCAGCTGAATTTGCTTATCCCCTCCCACCTCAGGGTACTTGGGGGCACCCTGCTTGGGGCTTGTGGCTTTAGTAGAAACTTTCCTTTTGGCATTTTCACTTGCATCTCCTTGCTTTCTCCTCTTCTGTCTTTTTGTGCCGTAGGTGAAAAGAAATTGGGTACTGTGATTACCCCTGACACGTGGAAGGATGGGGCCAGAAACACTACAGGTACTCTTTTTACTTTATTTGTTTATTTGAAGTATTTTCAAGCATTTACTTAGAGAAATCTTAGCATTCATTGCTCAGTAAGCATTGAAGCAGTTAGATAATTAAAAGGCTCTGTGAAGCATTTTACAGCTCTGACAGCTTGAAGCAGCTGGCCCGTTCCTTTCCTTCACTTGAACCTACTGCAGCTTCTTTCTCATTTTCTGTGGGAAATGTCACAATTCTGACTTTTCGGTACTGCATCCCTCCAACCATAATTTGTTCCAGTGTGGACTAATGATACTTATTGTATGTATTGACATAAGTGTGTACTGGAGAAGTGCATAATTCACCTAATGGAATAACACAGTGCCAGTCTCAGTTTTACACTGCAACAAATGTCAGTCAGCCTCTTGGCTAATCATATAAATTATTTGCCTGCCTAGGAACTTTTTTGGCCTGGTGTCTTTGTAATGTATTCTGTTTAACTGCATAAGAATTGGTGACACTAACTAGCAGCAAAACTGACTAGCAGCTCAATTGTTAGGCTTCTAAGAGCAACCCAGAAACTAGCTTGGTCCTGTCAGGTTGAAGACTCTCGTTAGAGACCTAAGGGCTCTGAGTAGCAAAGTAAAGAGACTTAATGAAGTGCAAGCCTCTCAGTGCAAGGCATTTCCTCTGAATTTATTAGCTAATTCATCTTATACAGTGCCTTTAGTACTGAAATTGGTAGGATTTAATAAAGATCTGACTTTGTGATTTTGAATGGTTGCCTGCTATTTATGTGCACGTTAAGTGGCTTATACTGTACTTTGCACACGAGTTATTGTCTTCTGTAGCTGTTGAGTGTTTTTTAGGTTAAATTCAGATGAGTGAAAACTTATACTTCTTAGTGCCAAGGTATGTACTTTCATGGACTTCATTGCTTAAACAAAACATAAAGTCCTTCTGTTGCCTCACATTTTAGTCCTAATACGTATACAGTATTCGGTTTCTACCTGCCAGCTTTGCTTTTAATTGCATATTCTAAGACTTGGCTTTGAACTTACTGTTCTTTGAGCTGACTAGTTAAAGTTTGCATACATTTGGTTATTACTTGGCCATTTATAGGCCTTTGGCTTGTATGTTGCCTCATGCCATCACGTATTTAGTAGTTAAAAAAAATCCATAACCTAACCAAACAAATACTAACTTTAAAATAGGATACTGAAGTGTAATAAAATATTTACACTCCTATGAAAGGAGGGGGTACTGGTAGTTCAGGTACAGGACTTTAGATGGGAAACTACTAGGAACTTCCACTTCTAGCTGTGCCCCCAACTTCTATATAACGTAAGATAAGTAACTAAAGCTTCAGCTATGCAGTGAAGTTGTGTTATGTAGGTGAAGCAGACTAGCCACCTAGAGTTTGTTTTATGATTTGGGCTTCGCACTGAATTTTTTAAACCACTAAGAAAAAGAATGAGACATGCATTTTATCCTCAAATGCCAAGTTATAACAAACTATATCAAACTGTAACTAGACATGAGAACTTAAAATGTGAATATAGAGACCAAATTAATGCTGTTATGAAAGTTTCTGTAAATATGTAAAATATTTGAGTGTATATACCTGCAAAGTTAAGTTTTAATGAACTAAGTTTCCAAGCAAGGTGGTCAAATTTAAGTTAATCAAGATAGTAACTACATTTTATACCCCCATGGATAACTTTACAGATTGCTTAAAATATATTTCTTCAACTATGTTTTGTGCATACTGTAGAAAGGTAGTATGACTGATCTCTTAGACATAAGAAGCATAACATTTCTGGGCCCTTGCTTTCAAACTAATTTTTTCTCTTTTGTTCATATCAGGAGAGATGTACTGATGTGCCTATATTGTCCTTAATTTACAAAATAAGCTTTCTTGTCTTTGAAATTAAGAAATACTTTGTTGTTGTTTTCCTTTCTAGAAAGTGGTGGACGAAAACTAAATGAAAACAAGGCATTGACTTCAAAGAAGGCAAGGTTAGCTTTGCAATCTTAATTTTGCTTAAATAAGGAAAATATGTTGCCATGTTTGCACTACAGCCAGAGCACGATTCATGAATAGTTCAGTAGCTTGAATTTTTTTTTAAAAAACAATTTAATTTATCTGTTAAAGAGAGCAAATAATTTGGGCAGAGACTATGCAATATTTGCATGGTCTCTCACATTTTATTGCTGTATTTAGGTAGGACATAATTGTCAAAACTCTGTAATTCTTGCAAGTCCTTAAGAAACTTGCATATATTTCCATAAATGTACATTAATGTGTGGGGTTTTTTGGAGAAGAGTGCAGAAATTGGGTCTCTATTATTGCCTCTGTCAAGACTGTATTTGAGATCATGGGAGAATCACTTAATCTCTGGGGTCGTGTATACTGTTTGGAAAATAGTGATGATTGCCAAATCAGAGGCTGTTAAACCATTCAGTGGAAGCTGCTGAGATACAAGTATTCTAATATTATGAAAGCTTTAATCTATTTGTCTGTCTGTCTATAATGCTTTATTTGCGCTCTGATTGGCTGACAAACAGCCAATCAGAGTGCAAAGAAGCGTTCGTACAGGAGGTGGTGGTACAGCGAAGCACCACCATAATGGTGGGGACACAGGAAACAGAATGGGGGTGGGGAGCAAGGCCACCGCAGCTGACCTTGTCCCCCCGCATCCAACTCCTTGGAGGCAGCGGCAGTGGAGCAGATGGAATGGGGGTGAGGCCAGTGCCTCACCCCCTGCCCTGCTCCCTGTAGATGCCAGTGATGGAGCGGGGAGGGGAGTGAGGCCACCGGAGCTGGTCTCGTCCCCCCTCCACCCTGCTCCTTGGAGGTGATGGCAGTGGCACAGAGGGTGGAGGAGGGTCAGGCCACCATGGGGGAGCGAGGCCACTGGCACTGGCCTCAGCCAGCCCTTCTCCGCTTCCATCACCATTGCCAGTGGGGGGGGGCAGGCAGTGGGCGTGCTGTGATGGCAGCAGTGTGGGGAGGGAAGGAGTGGGTCTGTGCTCGACATGGGTGGTGGGGGGCTTCTCCCCACCCTTGGGCCCACTTCTCCCCTCCCCCCTGCTGCTGCAGTGAAGAGGGTGGGGAGCAGGCCCAGACCCCAAGCAGCAGGAGGGAAGGGGGGAGTGGGCCCAGACAGGTGGGGGGGGAGGGGGCCACGAGGCTCTTTCCTCACCTGCTCCACTGTGCCTCCATCCTTCTTGATGGGCAATTGGCTAGTCCTGTGATAAACACATTAGAAATAAGAAATTGCAGTTGGTCAGCCTTGTATCCACACTGCATGGATCTCTTCCTGTAGAGCATGAAATTAGCTTCCCTGTACCTCACTTGGCTTTATGACTGTATTTAAATGTCTGTCTCCTTAGACCAGCATTTCTCAACCTGTGGGTTGTGACCCAAAAGTAGGCCACAAGAAATATATGAAAGGGTTGCAAATGAACTTTTAAAGTGGATTCTCCTTTAAAGGAGAAAAACATGGAAAACTGGCTTTTCCTTTACAGGCTGTCAAAGTTCTAGTCTGCAAGGGGCTACCCTGCCTCACGCACTGGGGATGGGGGGGCAGCAGGTCAAGAGTTGGGGACACTGGGTTGGGACTGGCCGTCAATGTTTACAGATGGATCCTGATACAATAGAAGTTGAGAACCTAGACTACAGTATTTCCCTACATTTCCTTTCAGTGGGCACCAAGTTTGATGATCCTGCAAACAGCCGATAGATGGAAGTATTTTCTTTTATGGCTTTTTTACAAATGAATAACAGCCATGAATGTTTTTTTCTTCATAGATTTGATCCTTATGGAAAGAATAAATTTGCAATATGCCGGATTTGCAAGAGTTCTGTTCACCAGCCAGGGTCTCACTACTGTCAGGGCTGTGCATATAAAAAAGGTGAGACGTGTAAGAACACAGCTGTGCCCTCCATCCTCATTCAGCTTGAACTTGGTGCACAACAGGAACTAATTTTAATGTTGTTCATCCTAAAAATAGATCTGAAGGATGATTTAAGCCTATGGTGGTAACTCTTAAGTTCAGTGTTAGATTTCTTAAAAATTGTTGTCCTTGAGCAATAAGTGTGTGTGTATGGTTTGATTAACTCCTTGTAGATTTAACAGGCTTACTCAAGAACAGGTTATCTTGGAGTGCACGGATAACATAAGCTTCAGAAAGTCTTTAAGTTTGGTTGTATAGCTGAGTGTTCTTCCTCAGAGGAGAGGTCTTGCCCTCAGTTGAGTATAAGGAGCAGAGAGAAGAACCCTCTCCTGGTCAGAAAACTGAGTGATGGTTTATAAAGACATAACATGTCAACTGATGTCTTTGTGGCTGGTTCCAAATCCTTGTGTATTCAATTGAGAGGCAAAAGGTAAAAGAGAAATCAGCAGCCCAAAGAAGTAGTTTCATGTGGTGTGCACAGCATAATATAGGGCTGTTCAACTTTTAAGCTATGACTTCTCTGGGTTGCATACCATGCCCCCTTTCCTGCACCACAGCACTGTGTAGATGCACCCTAAAGAGGGAGAGGGATCCTGGAGCAATGGTGGGAAATGGCACCCAGGTGGGAGCCTGGAGGGACACAGCTTAAGCCCTTGGCCCATTAGGCCACCAGTTGGGCAGCCCTGCTGTAGTGTATGAATGTTTTCGTACCTTTAAGTAAGGCACAGATAACAGCGTATTAATATTCCATTGCTAGCTATGTATTTTCTAAATTGTCAGTTTATAGAGGACCTTTTAATGTTCTGTTTTTTAACAAACTGACTGGTGACTTCTGCTGTGCAAGGTGTTTCACTGAATCAGCTTGCTTTAGTAGTGTTTTCAGCCTTAGTAAAGATGCCCCTTTTGGGCACTCAAAAGGCTTCTGCATTTTGACCCCTATGCCTTTAAGCTTCCCTTTATGCTTCTTAGTACACTTCCTTAGCACAGAGGGCACAGACAGAAGTGACAATTTTCACCCGATCTTGCCACAGAAAGCAGTTTATAGCTGTGACTAAAGTGCACGGCTGCAGGCAGCTTCAAAAATGGCCTATTGAGTGAAAATCACTGCATGAGGTATCAGATGAAGATGTTTCAAAATATAGCTTCTTCTGTAGCTTATGTCTGCCTGTTGCTGTTTTCAGAATGGTAGTGGGGAAGGGAGGAGAGGAAGTTCAGTTGGGGGGTTTTTCAGCACCCCCAGTGGGGCTGGTGTTTTTTTGGGGGGAGGGGTTTTCAATTCACCCCCACCCTTCAGCACTGGCTGGGGAGCCCCAAGAATGAGCTCCCTCCACTGCCTTTCCCCCCCTCCCATTCTGAAAACAGTGACGCTTGCAGAGAGCCCTGGCCTTTGCTATGGGGACCTGGCTGCAGGCTCCCAGCCAGCAGTTTGACTCCCCTCCCCCCTGGAACCAGTAGTGAACTTGTGTTTGATCTGGGGTAACGTAACTCAGAACACTTTGCAGAACACTTTCTGCAGTACAGCTGGGAGCTGCACTTCTATCTGCCCCAAAACTGTATCTATAACCCCTTCGTGGGAGAGG